TACGGTATATAGCGATGCAACATGATAATACGGTATATAGCGATGCAACACGATAATACTGTATATAGCGATGCAACACGATAATACGGTATATAGCGATGCAACACGATAATACGGTATATAGCGATGCAACATGATAATACTGTATATAGCACTGCAACACGATAATACTGTATATAGCGATGCAACACGATAATACTGTATATAGCGATGCAACACGATAATACTGTATATAGCGATGCAACACGATAATACGGTATATAGCGATGCAACATGATAATACGGTATATAGCGATGCAACACGATAATACGGTATATAGCGATGCAACACGATAATACTGTATATAGCGATGCAGCACGATAATACTGTATATAGCGATGCAACACGATAATACAGTATATAGCGATGCAACACGATAATACGGTATATCACTCTGAGTCTAGGGGCCTGCTGTCAGAAACAAAATCGGTCTAACGATAACGTTTGCTGGGCGATCGCGTTGCCTACTCACGTATCTCGCCCTCATACAGCGTGTCCGTCAGCACGTCGCACGTCCTATTGCACGGTGACCTCGGGGTCAGCTTCACGTACGTCTTTCCCCTCACCTGAGCGAACCACACCAGGTCGGATATGATCGGCACCTGCAACACGCACGGCAGCGGCGGTCACTCACCCGCTATCTCACGCAGCGGCGGTCACTCGCCCGCTATCTCACGCACGGCAGCGGCGGTCACTCGCCCGCTATCTCACGCATAGCGAGCAGCGGCTTACTCGCCGCTGATCTACGCACCCCGGCACGCGGCGGTTCACCTCGCCGCTATCTCACGACGGCAGCGCGGTCACTCGCCGCTATCTCACTGCCATGCCGGCGTCACGCCGGCCCACTATCTCACGCACTCGGCCAGGCACGCGGTCACTCGCTCCGGCTTATCTCACGCAGCGCGGTCACTCGACCCGTATCTCACGCGAGCGTGGCGGTCACTCGCCACGCGATTCCGACTCGGCAGCGGCGGTAACTCGCTGCGCTATCTCGACGCACGGCAGCGGCGGATCACTCGCCCGCTATCTGCACGAGCGGCGCGTCACTCACCCGCTATCTTCACGCAGCGGCGGTCACCTGCACCCCGCTATTCTCACGCACGCGAGCGGCCGGCCTTCACTCGCCCTATCTCGATCAGCGCAGCGGTATAAATGGGTAACTTAGCAGATATACTAACGCTCCAAACTAGCGGCGGGTCACTACGCCGTATTCACGCACATGCCGGCAGCGGCGGGTTCATCGCCCGGAGTCTCACGCAGCGGCGGTTCACTCGCCCCGCTATCGCACGCACACGGACAGCGGCCGGTCACTCGCCTTATCTCACGCAGCCGGCCGCGTCATCGCCCGCTATCTCACGCAAGCAGAAGAAGAGATACATACACAAGAATAAATAAAAATATACACGCTCTCCCGGCAGCGGCTGTGGCTCACTCGTCGCGTATCTTCACGCAGCCGGGCGGGCTCAACTCACCCGCTATCTCACCGCGGAGTGGCGGTCACTCCACCCGCTGTCTCGACGCCCGTCCCTTGGCCTGCGGCGGTCACTCTGTCGCTATCTCACGCATGCGGCGGTCATCAACCGCTTATCTCACGCAGAGCGGCGTCATCACCGCTATCTCACGCCGCGGCGGGTCACTCACCGCTATCTCACTGCCGGCAGCGGCGGTCACTCGCCTGCTATTTCACGCAGCGGGCCGGTATACACCCGCTATCTTCACGCCCCGGGGCGCGGCGGTCACTCGTCCGTATCTTCACGCGAGGGCGGGTCACTTCAACCCAGCCTATCTCACGCCACGCCGAGCGGTTCACTCACCCGCTTATCTCACGCCTAGCGGCGGTTCACTCGCCCTGGCTATCTCAGCGCACGACAGCCGGCGGGTCATTTGCCGTATCGCACGCAGCTTGGGACGGTTCACTCACCCCTATCTCACGCTTCAGCGGCGGTCACCTTCGCGCTGCTATCTCACGCAGCGGCGTCACTCACCCGCTATCTCACGCCGAGAGCGCGGTGTGCTCACTCACACCGCTATCTCACGCAGCCGGCGGTCACTCGCCGCGCTTATATCTCACGCACTTTGGGCCAGCGGGCGGTTCACTCGCCCGCTTATCTCACGGCAAGCGGCGTCACTCCGCTTAGATCTCACGCACGCGACAGCGTGCGGTCATCACCCGCGCTATCTCACGCAGCGGTGTCACTCACCGCTATCTCACGCAGCGTGGTCACTCACCCGCTATCTCACGCAGCGGATGAGTCAACTCGGCCCGCTATCTCACGCCAGCGGTGGTCACGTCGCCCGCTATCTCACGCAGCTCGGGCGGTCTCCTCAGCCAGCTATCTCACGCAGCGGCGGTCACTCCCCGCTACTACGCACGATGCAGCCGGCGGTCACTCGCCGCTATCTCAGCAAGCGGCGGTCACTCGGCCCCGCTATCTCACGCACTCGATGGCATCACGCGGCGGTCACTCGCCCCTATCTCACGCACGGCAGCGGCGGTCACTCGCCCGCTATCTCACGCAGCGGCGGTCACTCGCCCGCTATCTCACGCAGCGTTTCCGCTCACCACACCTCGCCTGATTCCACACCTACCTCTCACATCCACCTGCTACTGACAGAACCACTCATATTGGTCATGCCCGTTGGTAAATAGCCTTGCGACAATTGACTACTCCGAACAAAATATCGACGAAATTGCGAGATATAATGTGAAGCGCTGCCGATATTTGTAATTATTCTATTAAAAAATCGCACTCTCAAAGGCCAAGTTCAAAAATATAAAATTATTTACAAAGTTATATAGTTCCCTAATGTTGCAGTAACATAGTCAAACTCTGCCATATCACAAATGTACTTATCCCATCTATAGACAGATCGACCTACGTAATACAGTCGAGGGAAAGAAGAGAGTAACTGATTCGCCCTAGGTTCGCCAATTCGTCGCATACCAACACGAGTGCTGCCATCTGTGACCGCAAGCCGCGCCATATCCGATAAAAGGACCGATGCACGAGAGGGAACGGCGCGGTAGGCTTACCTCTTTGTAGCTTTTCGCGCGATAGTTGTTGGCCAGAAACAGCCAATTCGACTCGGCCATCTCGACCATCGCGGGCAGAAAGTACGGGCGCCGGAAGAACTGGCGAAACGTGCGCGCTGCGGGCCGCTCGCAGTTTTCCCTGCAACGATTCACGATGAACAGTGTCAAGCCTTGTCAAGACGCGATGCGACGCCACGCAGAGGTTAGACACGCACTATAATCAAGCCCCCCCCCATTAATAATTAAGCAATTACTATTTTTAATTAATAATTCATAGGACTTTTGATATGCAGTGCTGCCGCATGCAGATTGCTGAGTCAATTTTAACTGACCACTCTTATAATGAAGTGAGAAATTTATTGTGGTATGTGATAGTCTTCATGCAAAATCAATATATTCCATTGCCAAGTAAGGGAAATACATGTACTTACATGTAATGAATAATAGGGTGAATGACAGATAAAGGAATAAACCAGGGGCGTAAATCCGTACCGAGGAGTGGGGGGATGATCGGCGATAGCCGGGGGCGAAATTAACCTTGGCTGCCGCAGGCAGGCCCGCGTGCCGTAGGCATGCCAGTGCTAGGGGGGTCTGGGGGCATGCCCCCCCCCAGAAAATTTTGAAATATTTAAGCCATTTTCCTGCAATCTGAGGCATACTGTGGGCCATATTCTCATGTCTGATGACACTATCTCAACCCTAGACTCAACCCTACAAGTTAGGATTCAAAACACTTTTCATGACTTTTCAGAGAGCGTACACAGTTAGGTTACTATAGTAATAATACATGTATTAAAACACAGGTAAGAATTGCAATTTCTCACAATTTCACGTGTTTTTGTATGTTTGCAACCTTACTTTTTGGCTATTCTTTTTTTTTCTCTTTTTTTTTGAATCTCAGGGGGGATATTTGTACAGGCCATCCCCCCTCCTTCAAGAGCGGGGGGGATGCATCCCCCCCACCCCCCCCCCCGGGATTTACGCCCCTGAAATAAACAGAGGAACTATATCGCCATTAGTAACTAACACCAGTGACTTTTCAAGTCAGTGTTTTCGGCCATCTTTCGGTGACACTAAACATTAGAAATCAGTAGATAACCTAAATATAACCAAACTTAAGTGACTATGCGAACGACAGATTCACATGATCACCTTCAACTCCGATACGTAAGGAGCGTTTTACTGACCAGTAGGCAAACCACTTGGTGATCTCCTGCTTTGCTGCCTTCTTCAAGAAGAGGCGGTTGTTGCCATACTTCACTCGCACGTTGCTCGTGAACGCACACGGGTACGACTCCCTCGTCGCCGCCTCCGTACTGTAAAACTGTAATCACACAGCGGAGTCAGACAGCCTGACCAGCCAGAACGAAACGCCCCGACCTCATGACTCACTGTTCCCCCTGACAACCGTTCGAAATCTGTTGTCACGGCAACCGGGAATCTTATCGGTAGTCAGCATCCCGCGCGATGCCGGAGAGATGTGCGCAAGTAAAGTATAGAATTAAGTTTATTTGCGACTCTTCTCGTTAATCCCATTTCGTTTTAATTCCCGCGTTCCCGACTATCGTTGAGCGTGAAACCTTGCGGCTGTTGTGAGCGACCCTGCGATGACGAACGTTAATGAAACGTTAATTAACTCGCTCGACTCCTGCCGGAGATTACCTGACTGAGAAATTCCCAGGAGAACAGGTCGGTGGCGGTCCAGTTGGCGATGCCGTCGGTGACGATGACGGGCACGTCTGCGCGCAGATACGACTCGGTCGTCACCTCCCAGCTGACGTTTCGCACGTGGTCTATGTCCTCCAGGTCCTCGCACGCCTGCGACGAGGCGTCGCGACACGGGGTGGAAGAACGACAACACGTGAATTCACCGCTGCCCCGGCACCACACCCTCACACCCCTCCCTTCCCGACCGATGGGTCAGCAGGTATAGTACAAGCTGCAGAATTTCAATGCAATAATGTCAATTGGTAATTGGTAAAAAAACTGCTGTTGCCAGCCCTCTGGGCCGGTGCCAAAAAAAATCTGAATTTCATGCCCTGCATTCGATTGGCATTGCATCAAACTCACCCTGCAGTCACTGTGGTAAATCTTATTGGGATTGTAGTATGGGTTGTTCATAATGCAGTCGTCATAGTAATACCGGGTCCAGTCCCACACAGGAAGCAACTGCAAAACATTAAACAAGTCTGATTAGAGATGTACCAGTAAAAGTACTGTTTATTCAGTAAGCGCAAGATTTTGCCCAGGGAAATAGTAAAATGCTAAGAGAGAGCCAGACAAAGTGAGAGAGAGAGAGATAGAGAGTGGAGATAGTCTGCATGTGTGCGTGTGTGCATGCATAGATACGTCGGTGCGTGAGTGCGTGCATGTCAGGGAGCAGAGGAAGAGAGAGATACATAAGGGGTGAAGTGAATGAAAGAGAATAGTACAAATAGATTCATGAACAAAGCCTGTAGTATCTTGCGTGCAAACGCGTCCATTCACAACATTTTCACCGCTGACTGCGCTACTACTATCACTGCTTCTCACAAAATCAATAAGAAATTGTCCTTTATCTCGATTAAATCACATTTCTCGTTACTATCCCATTTATCTGCTGGATTTGCACCGGATTTCATTCCAGACTTCCTTATCTGTCGAGGAGCAGCTGGTTGTAGGGCGAATGCAATTCTCAGCTAATGAACAAAGGACTGTTATATGCTACAGCGTAATAGAAATGGGTGCAGAAACCTCATTCTTGCGCTGTACGCAATATAGTGGTTCTCCACTTACGTCACAGCAATTATTGCCAAAATATCTCACGCACAACTAAACGCTCAGGCACGACAAATAGCTCTATGAACTGATTTAAATTCAACGCAACACACTTGACTTTTACAAACCGGCCTGCATTATTAAAACTCGCCAAATTGAAAAATGAGGAAGTTTCACATGTACCAGATCCGAGGTCGGTATGAATACATTCTAGGTAACAAACGGCCCTGCTGTTGAGCAGTCGTTTACAGTATACAGGTCTCTATACATTATACCCACTGATTCTAAGTATTTTAAAGCTGTGCTATACTCAGTAAGACAGAAAGGGTCGTTGTCGCATAGGGCACTACATTTATGTACCCGAGGTAACTATCTGATCAGATATATGGTTAGGGTTAGGGTTAGGGGGGTTAGGGTTAGGGTTAGGGTTAGGGTCAGGGTACCCTATACGACAACGACCCCTTCAGCCTCAGTAAGATGCAACCTCATGAATAAGCATATATTCATGTAGTCTAACTGTTTGAACAAGAGACATATACTAATTACTAAGCTAATGGGGTATAGCGCCTTCTTGTTGGTCTGGTAGTGCTAATATAGTGAAGGGGATTTCGCCCATTCACATATATGCAACTTCTAATTAAATTTATGGCAGAACTGGCCTCGTCGACAGACCACTCTTGGGGCAATTAACGCCAAGGTAGCATTCACGATAAGTGGGGCAATGGTGCCACATCTTGACGAAAGCACGGACAGTTCTGACCAGGGCGTTGGCCGGGTTTTTATCACGTGACGTAGCCAGGTTAGCAAGCGAGAGAGGGAATATACCATTACGATACGACCAGGAGTAAGATAATATAGGAGACCTTAAGACCTATTATTAAGACCAATATTATATAAGATATTATAATATATATAATATTATATTATAATATTATATAAGATATTATTAATACCTATATTATCTTACTCCTGATACGACACATTCACGACGAATACATACATACGATTACACCATAGGCCGTAACAATAGTGAAAGCTTGCGTTATACTAATATATTGCAGAAATCACGGAAAGTGAAAAGCCTTGCTTAAATATACCCAGAAATGTCTCTCTGCGTGCCAACACTATCGTGTGTATCTTGTGCGTATGCATAAATATAGAGATCCACATACATTTGTATGCTAAAATTAATCCGGTCTACTTAATCCCTGCACATTTAATCCCTTATCTTTTATCCCGCAGTTCGGCTATCTTCAGCTGCATACATGCCTAGCTGATAAAGCACATAATTAAATATGAATGAGATGCTAATGCAATATATTCATTATATAATACTGCATTCTATTGCAAACATTCCATTAACTCTGTGGTCGCAATACAAAGGTGGCAGTCAATGCATGACAGCTAGGCAAGGGAGGGTCGGCCCTTGCTGTAGGAAAGGCAAGGCAGACAGACAATGTATAGGCACGGTATACAAGGCAAGCAAATTTGGTGAACAAATTAGGTTGGACAAACCTGTACTTTGGTTTTTACATTTTTGGAGGTGGTTGAAATGGTTGGAATAATGTCTGCTTATCCGATGAAACGTAAAAGTCATTGCTTATGACGAAACTGGGCAAATGAACAGTTTGACTCTAAATGGTTTATAAATCACCATGAACACTTTACATAAATCTGCCAATATTCATGCAGGCAGAAGTAATTAAGCTGACACTCAATCGAGCTCGATTGCGCTCAATCGCGCTCGCGCTTGATTATATATAGTATCACAAAATCAATGCACAAATTCACACGCATTCTAAAATGACATTTAAAAACTGAGCATCATTGTATGATACATGAAGACCACTCGCGAGCTGCATGGTTTTCATGATCAGAATCACACACACACAGATCAACGACAACAGAATCAGTGCGTATAGTGCTGACACAACGTGCTCTGACAAGCTATTTCAACAGCTAGGTGCAACTTTCATGAGCAATGATCCGATTGCTTCCCGAGTGCTGAATTTTCCCTTTTAGGAACGTTTGAAGCTGCGAGTAAAGCTGTATATAGGGGTCATATATCAGTCAAGGAAAACCGCAAAAGTGTCATTTAGGCCATAATAAAAATATTGTTTGTTTGCCCTCAACCTGTGCCTCAACCGACCCGACCTGCCAAAACGGGGCTGATTCAAAGATTTGATTGATCTTTCCCATTTTTTTTTTATTACAAATTCAATTGTATATCACTGTACATTAGGGTGCGAAATTAACACGAGTCCGGAGTCAAATACTCCCTGATTTACTGTCAGACTCCCTGATTTGACATATATGCAGGAGTCCGTGTGACTCCCTGAAAATTCTGCCATACTAACTAGTTCGTTCCGGAGCACGGCCTCGCGGAATTACTGTATTTTTTTTAGCTAATGTCCAAAGAAAATTTGGCAGACGTGCAACGTACTGCACGAATCTTAAAAATAAGCACATGCGTTAATATTTTTAATTTTGAACCTCAGACTGCGAACTCCCTCATTTTGCTGCGGACTCCCTATTTTTGAGGGTAAGGAGTCCATTGGACTCCCTTGTTCAAAAGTTAATTTCTACCCCTGAGTACATTATATAAATCTGTAGGCAATACATTAATTATATGTACCAAGCAAAACAAACATTCAACATAAAAGGTATCTCCACAAAAGCACACCCGAGCATGTAGACACCTAGCTCTAGTAGACACCATGCTGAATTTCTAAAAAAGACCCCCTAAAAAAGCCTACCTACCTACCCAAACTTTTCAGCCTGGGTCGGGTGAGGGCAAACAAAGATTTTTTTAATTGTGTCCTTTATGATATTGGCACTCGAACAAACCAGCAAGCATCCTCTATACTAGAGACGTGTCTTTTCTACAGAGGTCACTGTGACTATAACACAGGTTTGGCTGTCTGTATATCTAACCGGTTCAAGCAGCCATATATTTTCTTCCATGGCAGCTACTTGTCGGTATTGTGTGTCAGTCGCATTTTCCTCTGACGATCTTGTACTAGTTGTAGTCCTGCACACAATGTGTGCTAGCACTAGCATAGCACCATGGGTCGAAATCATAAGGGGCCCGCGGGCCCGATGCCTATATTTTACGGCTGGGCCTGACATTTCTAATACTAGCAAGCGTTATGGCACTTGGGTCCATTACTGATCCAGCACATTATAGTATGAAGTGATGGCGGCTCTATACTATAGTGATAGAGCTATAGCCTATATGCGTATGCAAAATTTTGAGATATAAAACATATATAAAATCTGTGCAGTTGGATTTGCAATTAATGCCTGTATTTCAAGTGCGTGAGATTTGTCTTATTCGATACTTTTAGGAGTGGCACTGCGATCATGACAGTGAATTTGTCCTTTTACCAGACTTGTTAGGTTACTATACAGACGAAAGAGAATACAATGAAGAGTGAATAGGAAGAGAGTGAAAGAGCAAAGAGCGAAAAGTGAAAAGCGAAGAGAGTGCATAGGAAAGCCTATATAAAGTGTTTACAGGGGGGTTTCCATGAATGAGGTTGAATTAAAAATCCAATGCTATCCTATGCTATGCGCTTTGTTATCCTGAATCTATAGCGGTGCACCGATGGGTGTCCCTGGTAATACTCTTTATTGCGGCTTCAAAAACTTTCATAAAACTGCAAATTAAGTAAGGTAATACCGTGAGTATATACTATAGCCTAGGTACTAGTATACATGCATGTTCATTAGAGCTGTAACGATCCACCGAAATCGAATCGAATCGCGATTCTCTTCCCTCGATCCGATCCTCGATACTTTTTCCCGTATTTTCGATCCGATCCAACCCGCTAGTAGTAGTACTTCATAATGTGTGCATCGGCCGAAGTGTGTATGAGACGCCCGCTCTGATTGGTCAATAGTCCTGACTCGCCAGTGAGCTAATCAGCAGCTACAGCACATCGCTAATATGTTTACAGGGCTGCATTTAGACGTGACTGCTCGTTTTTTTATTTTAATTATGCGCTTAAAGTTATTTTGTTAAATAAAATTGAGAAAAAAGAAAGAATGTAATAGTTGGTTAAGAGTTTTTATTGCAAAATAATGAAAATATAAAAAATAAGATAACATTTCAATATTTTGGGAATCCAATCGAAGGAATCGAATCGAGAGGCTAATATCAAGATACGGATCGAATCGAGAGGCTTGTGTATCGTTACAGCCCTAATGTTCATGTTCATACCCGATATTTTCAATCCTTATTGTGAATTAATGTCCTTAAACCAGAACTTGTGCCCATCATGTACTTATTTGGATCTCGTGAATTGACTACCTAACATTCTACCATTTTATACCCTCAAGGACTTTCAGAACCACAAAAGCCTGGATGCCTACGATCGACTGTTCTGCAGTTGGGTTAGTGGTGTATCAGTCTACATATATCATGTGAACAGTGAGAGTCCCATCTACATTAACCGAGCACGTGTTATGCACTCCGAGTCTCTGATTATACCATCTCTCTATCCGCGCATGGGTCACGACGAGAGAATATGGGACAGGCATCATGACAGCACACTGTAATTGTAAAGCTGGGCTTGGTGAATTCTGTTCACGTTGCCTCGGTGCTATTTTATGTAGAGTATGCTGTACGTGCAAGAGAAATCACCACCCCAACTCAAACAGCTGCCTACTTGAGCTGAAGGGCTCGTTGTCGTATATGTACCCGAGTATAGTACCCGAGGTGTCGGCGAGTATGTCGCCTACGCCTACTCCCTAACCCTAACCCTAACACCCTAACCCTAACCCTAACCATAACACCCTAACCCTAACCCTAACACCCTAACCCTAACCATATCAAATAGTTACCTCGGGTACATATTATACACCATTATACGACAACGACTCTTCGTGCCCTACTGGATGCCGGCGATATATGTATATAAGTGTAAATGTGTATAGCAGCGTGCGGCGTGCGTGCGGTGTACCTGTGTGTTGCAGAGGAGCATTTGACCGGCATTTACAGGTAATTATCGGCAATACTAGGTGAAAGAGAGTAGAGACACATTAAGACATTGGTAGTAAATACATTTTGTTTTTTTATTCAGCATTGCTTTTTTTATTGAAAATGCTCCAAGCGTCTGTGGTCCGCCTGGTCTCTCGTCACTTTACCTTGTGTTGTGATCATGCTAGGCAGCCTAAAAAAGCTGTGCGGCTCTCTCTGATACCAATTGCTGCAGTTGACAACATCTGGATCTGGATCTGGATAGTTTTCTGCGTAGCCCACGATTACGTGGATAATAACGCAGGGATAGCTATAGGGAACGCTTTAGCTAGCCATGGAGTGTGACCTAGCTTGGGTAAAGCCAGGTAGTTAGCCTTTAGCCGAATGGCACTGAGGGTGGAGGACGCAGGAGAGCGGCGTTGTGACGGATTTGCTTAATAGGTGAATAAAATGAGCAAAGAACAGTGCGTTGCTCAATGTACCTATACCATGCCTGAACTGGTTTCTGGAACCGTCATGGCCGGCGGCGTTGCACTGTGGGTAATTTGAAAATTCGCGGAACCCTCTATACGATCACTATAACAACAAGTGCCGCAGAGCGACAGCGCTCACCTGACGGCAGGTGTTCTGATGCTAAACTCACTGGCAAACGAATGAAGAGCACCCTCCCATCACCGCGTTTGCGCTCAGAGCATATATCTA